GACACTGGCTTGTTGATGACTTGATCATGGCTAAAGATGACCTCTCAGGTGCTGACATCAAGGCACTTTGTACAGAAGTTGGTCTGATCTGATGACCTTAAGAGACCATACAATGCAAGTAACAAATGAAGATTCAAAAAAAATCTTGAAAAAAGTTCCATATAAAAACAAGAAGGCCCTGAGGGGCTTTATCTCTCATGAACCATATATAGTTGCCATTAGGAAATGAGTTTTCCTGACCCAGAAGTTGCCCAGAGGAATCCATGTTCCAGCTGACTGATATTAGCAAACATCCTCTGTGTCCCTTGGAGAACGATGTCCAAGCTGCCCCATGGGTGGCTTTCATCTGCTAGTCACTGTGCAGCATTCTGGTTCCCAATAAAGCAGGTTCTTTCACGGAAGAAAAATAACTCCTCCAAAACAAGCTTCACTAACCTCATTTTAAATTTTCAGGAGTTGAATAAGGAATAAATGTGTGGGACACAGATTTTTAGAGGAGTGAAAATAGTCCATATGATAGTATAATGGTTGATACATGTCATTATACACTTGTCCAAACCACAGAATGTACAATAAAGGAGTGAGCCCCACAGTATACTAAGGACTCTGATGATCACGACATCTCAGTGTAGGTTCACCAGTTGCTCACCGCGCCAGTGGTGGATGCTGACAGGATGGGAGACTGCAAATGCAAGAACAGGAGGCTGGACCAGCTCACATTAGCCATTGCTTAAGCTGTTACTCATGATACAAAACCAAAGAAGCCCAGGCATGTGCAATGGGAAAAAGCCCTACTGTCCTCAATGTTACCCCCAGCCTGGCAGACTAGCTGAATTGGCACCACTTGAGACTGGTTAGTAAGGCCACAAAAGCTTTACCTACCCCCAGATCAAGGAGATGGATTTGATGTTGCTTCTTGCCTTGTTCCAGGTGACTCCCAATAAAGCTCTTTCTTTTCTCAAAAGTCAGTGTCATAGTATTGGCTTCTATGCGTAATACGCAGGGAGCCCACTGCTTAGTAACAAAAATTCTATTCCTCCTAACTTTGCTGTGAACCCAAAATGGCTCTAAAACAACTAAATGTTTTATTTAAAAAATAGATTATCAAAATGTTTTTTAAAAAGAAATGAAAAAGTTTGCAGAACATCCCATAAGTAAAGGAGGTGGTCTCTCTTATTTTGAACTTACAACCTTACCCAGAGAACCGTTTAGAATCATCAATCAAAACTTTAGACTACTATACGAAATTCAGTTACTTTTTCTGGATTATTTAAAGTAATATAAGAGTGCTATTATCAAGGAAATAAAACAGAACCAATCACTAACGTTCTCTGAGATACATTTTCTCCTCTAGGCATACATAATGGCATAAGAGTCGTTACCCAAACTGAGAAAATGACATGAAGGCTGTGTTGACCAGTTTGACGGAAGTATTTCAGATTGCATGTGAAAACCCTACACTGTACCCCAGAAGTGCATTAATGTACATAGTTACCATTCAATAAAAAAAAAAAGAGTCGTTACCCAAAACATTTAATACAAGAAATATAAAAGGAAGATGAATGATTCAAGAAAGAAAAAGAATGCCGACCTACAAATATCTAGTGAATGGTTAGAATGTTTGGAAAAGAAAATAAGAACTGTAAGAGCTTTAAAGAAATGTAAGAGTAACCTTGATAAAAGTATAAAATTTTGAGTATTTCAAGTATGAGAAATAATATGCAAGCAGGAATGCACTTAGAAATTCTGGGAGAATTTGGATGATGTAATTTATAGCAAATTTACTGAAATAAATCAGTAAGGTTAGTAGCAGTATAAAAGTGTCATCTTGCTAAGTCACTGTTAACAGTCTGGCTTTAGTGTAAAAGATAAAGTCAGGGTAGGAATGTTTAAAGTTGAAATAGGCATCAGAAAAGAAATGAACTAGTTTCCATAAAGGTAATGAAGAATGGATAAAAGTTGTTACATCGTGAGAAAAACTGCTATATAGAAGGATCTGGTCTAGGGTAATGGTAACAGAGAATAAACTAAAAAGATAAAAAGCTAAGCATTTTCTTTTGTTAAAGAAAGGAAAATGATCTTAGAGACATGATTATAAAGGATGGGAAAGTAATGGTTTCAAATATTGGAGGAAAAATATCCAACTATACAACATGCTATATTCAACATGTGCACGTTTAGTCCTAGATTTATCCCAGTCATCATATGACAAGCACTGCAGTACAACAGGTATGAAACATCCGATCTACACATGGAACAGAGGCTTACACAGTCTTACACACTTGAAGAAACGCCAATCGTTTGGAAAATATCAATTTTATTGGACTTTTGCCTCTTTTGGTCTCCTTTGAGGCTACATGCCTTTCCACAAGTTCACTGCCTGGTAGCCCTTCCACCAAATAGGTTTTGAAATATAGAGAGTGAAGGGTGGAGTAGGAAAAAAAAATGAAACAAAAATTAAAATCTGTAAGAGCAATTCCACATATTCAAAACACAGGAAATCTTGTCATGATTCATCTTCAAGGAACATTTTGGTCTAACTATGTGTTATGTGTAATTTAGTAAGACATTATCATAAACCATTAAATACAAAATAATACAAAGAAAACCCTCACATTTATAAATTTCAAAAAGAAATAACATAACTAGAAAGACAGATACCCAAAACAAATCCAAGAATACAGAGTTCCTCAATTTGGTCTGAAAGCTCTTTAAAGCTGAAAGAAATTGACCCAAAAAACCACCTGAAAGTGTATTTCTAATTGATAATGAAGACAATATATTTCAGTCTCCACTCTTCATATTGGTCACATCATTATCTCTTGATCTCAACTATTTCTGAAATTAGGCTTCTTTGTTGTTTTTTGTACTCAATATAAAATCTGAAGCATCCTATTAAAATTACGTGATTTTTTTCTATTTAATACTTTCTTAATATAGCTAAGGAGAGCAAAGGAATGATAAAATTTTACATTCACAACATAATTTTTGAAAATCTATTGTTCTCATTATCTGCTTTGAATTCTCACTTAGCAGGCTTCATACTGTTGTCTTGCTCTTTCCCTAGGCAAAAAAAAAAAAAACACACAAAACCTCTGAAATTGTAAAATACTCATTAAACTTGTAATAAAATCACCTTAGAGAATTTCTTGACTGTTTCTTGTTGAGAATTATTTCTTGGTTGACTCCCCCAAATATATTTTTTAAGAAGGTTAGAATTAGTCATTTTGCTAGAACTAATTCCTTTATTAGGTAAAAAAGTAAACTTTCCCATATTTAATAGAAAAGGAAAAGTGATGCTTATTTGGCAAGTTTTATATAATCAAGTTTCTTAAAATGTTAGGCTATAACAAAATTTTAGAACAGGTTTTATTTCATTTAGTACTGGAAATATGTTCTTGCACATGGGAACATTAACCAAATCAGCATCGCCACAGTCATTACACAATACTCTCTTTGGAGGTAGTATATATTACAATGATCAACAGACGCTGATGAGGAATGACCAGTGAGAGGTCACCTGATGTCTTTATCTTCTCTGCCTTCTTCAGAACTTGTCTAATAGTGGTTTTCACTAGGTCTACCTAGACCCACCTAATGTTTACCACTTAAAATGTACGTTTTCAATACCCAGCATACTTAAATCTTCAAAGTAATTCCTTGTTTGGTTATGTAAGCTACTTGCTGTGAAGGAGACCATAATCAGAAGATAAGATGTCAGTGGCAAAAAGACCTCCACAAAGTAAACAAAACAAACCTGTGGGCAAATGCCTCGCCAGCCAAAATAAAACACAACAGATAAATAAAAAAATAGGGTTTCACCCTAGTGTTTGACATGTCAGTTATGTAACAGATATTAAATCATGCTTTAATAGTTTGGAAAAAATTCTGTGACCCAAGATACTTAGAAATTCCTATTCAATAGTAAAAATGCTGCCATGGGATAAAGTGTTAATTTGTGTTATTTGCATATATACACAAATGTTTTAATTTCAACAGGCTTTTCTAATATGCTGTATTAGTTATGTTTTATAACTTCATTCTGTTCTTCATTTTGTTGATAAAGATGCTTCAACTTATTAGAAGTATTAATAATGCCTGCTTGGTAAAAGTTGAAAAATTTTTGAGCTTTGCTTAGTTCCAGTTAGACAATCTCTTAAGACCACAGAATTAAAGAAAGTTTAACTCTTGAAAAACAGCTTAGCTGTAAAATACAGTTGCTTTCTGGTTCATATTCAGTTTCTTTTAGTTATCAAATTTCATAAAGCAACTAACCATTGCTTTCACAAGTTTGAGAACTACAAAAGGGAAATATATGAAACAATTTAATACTGAAATGTTAAATTCTCAAGTATCTCCCCAAATGGAGACAGTTGTTAACTGTCAGCTACTATCAAGACTGTCTTACAACAGCTATCATTTAATAAAAAAAAAAAGACTGTCTTAAACAGAATCAAAAAATCAATTAAATAAAGAGGTCTTCTGATATGTCACAATATGAAAGAACATTCCTTTTAGTACTGCATCACCTACCATTAAATTAATATTATTTGCAAATATAATACATCTTAAATATTTGCTTTATGAAAACGTAAAAGTGAGACTTCCCTATGGATAAAATACACAGTAACAGCTTTGATACTCTTATAGCTCCTTGAAAGTCATGACAAACTGTATCCAAAACAGTCTATCAATAACTGAAGATATTAGATAGAAACCAGAAAGTTTCTTAATAATCCAGAACCATGGATTGAAATGATAAAATGATAAGGATGCTGAAGGCTAGGTCTACATAAGCTTCAAGAAAACAACCATCCATTTGTGACTATTCAACTTTGTTGGCTGAAGACCAAAGTAAGACTACAGGATATTTCGTGGGTCCTTCCACTTCACAGCCTACTATTCTGGCAGAAAATAAGGATAGGTCGCAAAACCTATGGGTGTTTTCTAGTTTAGTTTTTAGAAATATGTAATACTTGAAGCAGTCACAGAGTAATATATGCCTTATGATAATTTATCAGTTTTAGTAATAGGAAAAAAAATACATATTTGTTCTGTGGTGACTACTGTAGCGAGTTTTATTTTCCTCTTCCCATTTTTGGTGACTGCTTTCCACTGGTATCATCAACAAGTTCTCTCAGTCGAGACAAATGGTGCAAAGCCCTTTATTAAAAAGTATAAAACATATAAACCAATCATTAAGGACAGAATAGCCAATGAAGACAGCAAAAATGGTGATTACATTGTGCATTAACTTCAAAATTAGTTTTGTGAAATTAATTTATAGAATAGATAAATCAATATTTGAATTGTTCCTTATAAAACTTTGAGATCTTAGTAACTGAGGGTTAAAATAATTTATCTAACGTTCTATGAAAATTAACTTTAAAAATTATATTTTTGACATTCAGTTTTATTTTAAAGTTAACCTGCCAAGTAGCCTAATAATATAGTGGGTATCAGTCATATAACACTTAACAGAACATATTTTTCAAATAATTTTCACCACAGCTCTATGAAATGACACCTTTTCTTTTGGTTAAGAAGTAAAATATATAAATTATTTTTAACATATACATTCAAGGTAGTTAAAATTTTTCTCAAATAGTATTTAAGGATCAGTTACAAGTCTGAAGAACACTCATTGCGTATGGGGAAAACCAATGACCTCTCCACTGAGAGTGAATAATATGGTATTATACCAACAATGTCGATTTTTCTCTGAAATAAAGCCAAGATTGTATGGCAGGTCTCAGTAGAGAAAACTCAATCATTCCTCAAACAAACCAGAGAGGGACTCTCTAATTATATCCATCCAGATTTTCTCTCCCCTATCTTTCAGCGCAGGACCACTCAGAAAATATTAATCAGTCTATTTCAGATCTTTGACTGAGAAAGTAAGAATACGTATAATAATCAGGATGTATAGTGATCTCTAGTCTAATTTCCATTTCTACTGTGAGCTGAAAGGTACAGATTACGACGTCATATTCTATAGTCTCTAACACATAATAGAGATTCAATAAATGTATATTAAATAAAATACACCTTCCACTCTACCTAGGAAACTAGTAATGTTAACTACCACCTACTTATTTCCCTGTACTCTATGCTTCTTGTGCACTTTTATGTAAGAGTCTTAATTTTTCCACCCTATTTGGTAACCTCATATAATTTTTGAGATTCTCCCTTCACTGACCAAATGACAAAAACTCACCCAAAGTTACATCAATCAGAGGTAAAAATAACCAAATGGTAAAAGAGTACCATTTTTATATCCTATATTATTTCTCTACCTCAAGAATTCTTTTCCTCCTAAAGGCATACATTTATAAGGGAGAAAATAATCTGTAAATATACTTGAGACTTACTTCCTTTTCTTTTTGGGCTTACTATTTATTATCTGAGATTCAAAAGAAAAAAAAAGGCATGTGGCTGGAGTCCTATTTTATTGCTTATAACTCCTAGGAGAACAGTTTGTAAACCTGAGGCCACAGACCTCTTAGATTTAGAAGGTCTATGAAACTGAACTTGGGGTAGGGATGGGATGAGAGGCATTCATCTTTATTTTCACTAAATACTATTCCTTCTGCTATAACGTAAACAATCAGTATCTGTGACGTAGTATCCCATAGAATTTACAGTATTTTTATATCACATTACAGTCACTGCAGGTATCTCAAAATATCTTTTGTTACTCATCATTACTCCAAAATTACAATAGTTACTAATTGTTGTAACAGTAAAAGAGTTATTAAACCCACTGCTGGAACATACGAAATCTAAGTGTCTCTGTCTACAGCCTACAAGTCCTATGTTGTAACTGCACTGTCAGACAACTTTACACCTAGCTGTTCATCTACCAAATAGTGAGATTTTGCTGGGAACCCAGACATCACTGCTCTCCAACAGTCCCCTCTTCTCTAATTGTTGACTGACACGCAAAGGAGGTAAAAACCACTCCATGGCTTACTGTTGTTTTTCTGTTGTTTTTTTTTTTTTTTTAAATAGAGACAGAGTCTCACTTTATTGCCCTCCACAGAGTCACACAGCTCACAGCAACCTCCAACTCCTGGGCTTAGGCGATTCTCTTGCCTCAGCCTCCCAAGTAGCTGAGACTACAGGCGCCCACCACAACGCCTGGCTATTTTTTTTGTTGCAGTTTGGCCGGGGCTGGGTTTGAACCCACCACCCTCGGTATATGGGGCCGGCGGTCTACCAGCTAAAAGTCTCCATACTCCCACGTGTTTTCACAAAACAAATTTTATCTTACCTTTATTTTAAATGTCTTATTTTAAATGCATTAAGAAACATACTACTATATAAAAATTTCATAACTGTAATTCAATATAATCAATTTCCTTTCTACTCCCATATAGTTTATTTTATGCCTTTAAAAAACAAAGGCTGGAATCCTAGCACTCTGGGAGGCTGAAGAGAGCAGACTGCCGGAGCCCAGGAGTTCAAGACCAGACTGAGCAAAGTGAGACCCCTTCTCTACTAAAAATTGAAAACTAGCCAGGGTTGTGGCGGCACCTATAGTCCCAGTTACTTGAGAGGTTGAGGCAAAGAGGATCATGTAAGCCCACGAATCTGAGGTTGCTATGAGCTGTGATGCCACAAGGATGACAATGTGAGACTCTTCTCTCAAAAAAAAAATAATAATAGAAATAAAAAATAACAAAACATAAAAAAATGGTAACGTGGTAAAAGCACTTATGGATCAGTACTGATTTTTGTGGTCAATTAATTACTTCTAGCATAATGTTGATTTTCACTAAGAAAAACATCTAAGGTATGTACTTCAACTCAAAAAACACATTTAGGTCTGGAACACAGGTTTACTACAAATGCTTTTAAGAGTAATGGAAATCTTGAGGTCATTCACTTTAAATTTTAAAGCAGAATAAAGCCTTTATCCTAGATGATCAATGGAGGTTCTGCATCTAGCCTCAATGAATAAAACTCATCACTATCATTAAAGAGAGGAGTGTTAGAAACACAGACTTCTTCAGACTGCCCAGTGCTGTCTCTCCCTAGCAAGGTAAGCTTGGACAAGTTACTCTACGCCGATTCCCTGATCTACTTTGTAAAGATAATAATACAGCTTACCTCACAAGACTGAGAAGATCACATGAATTATATTCAATACCATGTAAAATACTGATACTTGGTAAATATTCAATAAATGTTACTATAATCATTATTCACCGAATTCTATTAATACTAGGTCTGGAATACTATGACAAGCTACAAAGAAAAAGGTATTATGTCTCCCTTAAGAACTACAAATTGAATAGAGAGAAAAAAATTACGATATATATTTTTACCTTGAAAACTATATATGTACTTATCACAATTAAGAGTCATAGTTTACATGTGTAGTGTTTTACTTTTCTACCAGTCAGATAACAGACTAAAGATATTCTGAAAGTAAAAAAAGGTAGAGAATATTTGTTTAGCCAAGTGAAACAGCATTCCTAGAGCATAAATGTTTAATCTTAGTATTTCCTAAGCTCAGTATTCCAACTTCCAAGGACACTTCATATTCACACAACCAAGCCCCAAAAATAAACATACTCTTCTGCCAATATCATAACTATAGTTCTGACTTGCATTCTTCCCTTTTTTAATATATATAACACAAGCAAATTAGATCTATCCTTGCATCCAGGACATTCTATCTACTTTAAATTTCTATGGAGATATTTCATATTGATACATGTATGATTATTATATTTATTCTGACGGAAATACACGAAAACACATTTCATAACAAGTTATTCTTACAGGATACTCACAAATACTATCACAAATTGTTGCTATTACTACTCAGAAATGAGTCATTCACATCCATTATATTTTAGATGTCTAAGGATTCTCATTAGGTCCTTAGAACATCTGAGATAGGAAAGAGGCACAAGTTTAAAAAGTTTTCCTTAAAAATTAAACCTTGTGCTTTAAGAAGCTTAAATATGCCTAGTACATCTACTCTTAAAACTACTTACTTCTACCCTGTAACTTCCTGATTTCAATCAAAGGAATGGCTAAAGATGCATTTGTATCCATATTATAAAAAGTACTTACTTTTGAAGTGACCTAGTAATAGGAATCATATTTTCCTTCAACTGTAATTTAGCGTAGTCATCTTCTGCAGCCTATTATTAAAATACCAAATATAACAAAATATTGAACATATATAACCATAAAATTAAACTTCATTTAAAATGTGATTAAGAATATTAAAAATTACTTCCTGCATTTTCAAAGAATTACCTCTAGCAAATAATTTTCAAGAGCATTAAATATTTTTAATTCTCCTTTATTCTAAAAATACTATAACTACTACAGTCATCTTTTAATTGTCTTAAAGTATCCTTCCAAAATATGTCCTTTAAAAATCAAATCATGGATTAAAATTTTGACTTTACAGAATAAGACTGTGACTCAATGATATTTAAAGGAGAAAAGAAAAGGGATGGATTAGATAATATATGTTATGATTATCAGAATGTGAGAAGAAAAATTAAGAAATACAACTCAAAAGAGTAGGCCATGAAGAGCTGACCCGTACTTGTAATAGAAACTGAATTTCATAAAGCTCTACTGAATAACAATAGCAAAATAAACAATTATAATAAGAGCTATATCGTTTACTGAGTATCTACCAGATGCCAAGCACTATACTAAGTATTTTATATAAATTTCTCTCAACTTATCTTCGCAACATCATTTTACAGTAAAGGAAACTGATAAGCAAAGTAAAGCAGACATAGAAAGTCAAATCATCCATTATCTCACTTATTGTGGAACCTAAAATGTTGAGGTCACTGAGACAAAGAATAAATGAGTGGTTACCAGAAGCTGGTGAGGGGTGGGGGGATGATTACAGAGATAATGGTCAAAGGACACAAAGTTTCTGTTAGGAGGAATAAGTTCAAGAGATCTACTGTAAAACATGGTGAGACAAAATAGCTGAATAACAATGTATTGTACACTTGAAAATCACTAAGAGTAGACCTGAAACGCTCTCACCACAAGGAACAAGTATGGGAGGTAATACATATGCCAACTGGCTCGATTTAACCATTCAAAAATGTTTCAAAACATCAAAACACATTTTACACTAAAAATATATAAAAATTGGTCAATTAAAAAACAGATATATTTTTAAAAAGAAACTAAAACATTTCAGATGACAAAAGTACAGAGAAAAAGTTTTTAGACCTCCCCAAACATTACTACAAGATGCGCCATACAGATTAATTTGGTAAAGCATTGAAGGAAAAAAAAAAAGAAGGCTCAGTGCCTATGGCTCAAGCGGCTAAGGCGTCAGCCACATACACCTCAGCTGGCAGGTTCAAATCCAGCCTGGGCCCGCCAAACAACAATGATGGCTGCAACCAAAAAATAGCCAGGAGTAGTGGCAGGCGCTTGTAGTCTCAGCTACTTGGGAGGCGAAGGCAGGAGAATCAACTGAGCCCAGGAATTGGAGGTTGCTGTGAGCTGTGATACCACAGCACTCTACCCAGGGTGACAGCTTGAGGCTCTGTCTCAAAAAAAAAAAAAAAGAAGAAGAAACAAAACTCCTACAATCCTTTTATGCCATAGTTGTAACATCATCATACCTAAATAAGTATGTTAGATTTCTAACCATAAACTAAACAGAATAATCTATTCACAGGTAAACAGCTAGAGAAATCTAATAGAATTAAATATGAGTAAACTACTTTCTATAAAAGACAACAGTGACACAACTCTACAACATGTGGGAGGTGGCACCTCAAGTTTGTGCTTACTTGTTTAATCTCCTCTTTTGTTGCTGTGGCTTTATTCTGATTAAAACTTTCTTGCACTGCTTGAAGATTAAATAACATTTGTTTCAGGGCTTCAACAGGACCATGATGTTTGCCTCCAGAAAGGGTACAGCTCTAAGGTTAAAACAGGTAATAGTGTTAGAGTAGGAGACGAGGAGACAGGGCTGAGACTGGATGCAGGGCCTTAAGACACTGTGAGAGTGTTAAACAACCCTCAAGAAGCAGCTAACCCGAAAGTCTGGTAACTGCAGGCAAGAACCAACTTCAACCAATTTGTAAGAAATCTCAGTCACCTTACATGAACTTTGGCTAATTATATAATACCATTTACAGGCCAGGCACAGTGGCTCATGCCTATAATCCTAGCACTCTGGGAGACCAAGGTGGGTAGACTGATTGAGCTCATAAATTGGAAACCAGACTGAAGAAGAGTGAAACCTCATCTCTACTAAAAATAGAAAAATTGGCCAGGGGCATTGTGGTGGGTGCCTTGTGGTCCCAGCTACTCAGGAGGTTGAGGCAACAGGATCACTTGAGCCCAAAAGTTTAAGGTTGCTGTGAGCTATGATGGGCTACAGCACTCTATCCAGGGTGACAGAGTGCAACTCTACTTCAAAAAAAATAAAATAATAATATCATTTAGATAGTGGTTTTAAAATTTCTCTGCCCTCAAAATAACAATGACACTTCCAAAAAAATCATACAAAGTATAAATATGGGAGGCAAATTGGAATTCACAGCCATACTTGGGAAAATGTAAACTCTATGCTCTTAAACATTATACTTTTGTGGAAAAAAAAAAAAAAGACTATAGAATAGCAAACCAAAGAAGTAAGATTTCAGATTAGAATTACTACCCAATTCTTAGTGAAAGCCATCCCTTTAGCCTGGAACATCACTCCCCTCAATTAGTAAGACTTCAAAGGACTAAAACCACTTTCTCTCAGGCCAGCTGCTCTCTCTCAAGTCTGCCCACTCTCCACCCCGACAGCGTACTTTCACTTTCAACAACAAGCTATCATGTACTTGGTTTACATGGCGCATCCTGAAATTCTTCTCCCCCAGCAATTATCAAGAATTTAGGAAAAACTCCACTCAGAGGCCAGTAACAATAGCAATTGTGCAATTTTCCTTCTAGATATATAGATCCAAGAGAGGGGAAAGTAAGGTTGTGGGTAGATATTTGCACATCCACGTTCACAGCAACATTATTCACAATAGCCAAAGACAGATACAACACAAGTGTCTACCAATAGATAGTGAACAGATAAACAGCAGGTGGTACCTGTATACAATAGAATATTATTCATTCTAAGGAAGAAGGGATATTCTGAAAAATGCTACAGCACGGATGAACCTTAAAGACAACAGGCTAACTGAAATGAGCCAGTCACAATAGGTCACATATTTTATGACTCTTCTGATATGAGGTTTCCAGACTAGCAAAGTGATGACAGAAAAGTAAAATGATTTGGGTGGCACTGGTAGCTCAGTGGGTGGGGCGCCAGCCACATACACTGAGACTGGTGGGTTTGAACCCAGCCCGGGCCAGCTAAAACAACAATGACAACTGCAACAAAAAAATAGCTGAGCTTTGTGGCAGGCGCCTGTAATCCCAGCTATTTGGGAGCCTGAGGCAAGAAAATTTGCTTAAGTCCAAGAGTTTGAGGTTGCTGTGAGCTGTGAAGCCATGGCACTCTACTCAGAGCAACAGCATGAGACTCTGTCTTTGTAGCTTAGTGGGTGGGGCGTGGGCCACATATACTGAGGCTGGCAGGTTCAAATCCAGCCCAAGCCTGCTAAAGAACAATGACAACTGCAACAAAAAAAACAGCCAGGTGTTGTGGCAGGTGCCTGTAGTCCCAGCTACTTGGGAGGCTGAGGAAATAGAATCACTTAAGTCCAAGAATTGGAGGATGCTGTGAGCTGTGTCATCACAGCACTCTACCCAGGGCAACAGCTTCAGACTCTGCCTCAAAAAAAAAAAAAAAAAAAAAAAAAAAAAAAAAAAGAGAGAGAGAGACACTCTCTCACAAAAAAAAAAAAAAAGAAAGTAAAATGATGCTTTCTAGGGTCTGGGGTGAGAGGGAAATGGGGAGTTAGTATTAATGAGTACAGAGTTCCAGTTTGAGAAGATGAAAAAATTGTGGGATGGACGATGATGATGATTATAGCTACACACAATGTAAAGGTACTGAATACAACAGAACTTAACCCTCAAAAATGACAAAAATGGTAATTTGTATGTTATGTATATTTTATTAAAATAAAATAATTTTTGGAAGAAAGAAATGCGATAAAGTATCCAGCTACGTTTATACTTCTACACCTTTGGCGATAGCATTTGAAGTTATCACCAAATGGTCTGCGTCCAGCTACTAGTTGCTTGATGCCAACTCTAAGAGTTGCAAACACCAAAACTATAAAAGTACTGAAGACAATAAAGTGGAAACACTTCAGGACATTGGTCTGGGTAAAGATTTTATGGAAAATCCCTTAATAGCACAGGCCAAAGGAAAAATAGAAAAATGACACAATATCAAACTAGAAAGCTTCTGCATAGCAAAGGAATTAAATCAACATAGTGAAAATTTTATATAGCAAAGGAAATAAAATCAAAAGAGCGAAAAGACAACTGATATATGGGGAGAAAATAGCTGCAAACTACTAACTTGTCAAGAGTGAATATACTCGAACTCAACAACAAAAAGTATACTAGAACTCAACAGCAAAAAAATAAACAAATAATCTGATTTCAAAATGGGCAAATGACCTGAATAGATATTCCTCAAACACACAAGTGGCAACAAATATTAATATATGGGGTGGTGCCCATAGCTCAGTGGGTAGGATGCCAGCCACATACACCCAGGCTGGCAGGTTCGAACCCAGCACAGGCCAGCTAAACAACAACAACTACAACAACAACAAAAATTGCCGGGTGTTGTGGTGGACACCTATAGTCCCAGCTACTTTGGAGGCTTAGACAAGAGAATTGCTTAAGCCTAAGAGTTTGAGGTTGCTGTGAGCTGTGACACCATAGCACTCTACCAAAGGGGACATAGTGAGACTGTCTCAAAAAAAAAAGAAAAGAAAAAGAAAAAATGCTCAGTATCACTAATCGTCAGGGAAATCAAAATTAAAACCATAATGAGGTATCATCTCACCCCAGTAAGAATGGCTATTTTCATCAAGAAAAAATAACAAACACTGGCGAGGACACAGACAAAAGGGAACTTTTATACACAGTTGTGAGACTATAGACTAATACAGTCATTATGAAGAACAGTACGGAGTTCCTTAAAAAGCTTCAACTGGATGGGCAGCTCCTGGGGCTCAGTGGGTAGGGCGCCAGCCCCATATACTGAGGGTGGTAGGTTAGAACCCAGCCGTGGCCAAACTAAAACAAAAAATAGCCAGGTGTTGTGGCAGGCACTTGTAGTCCCAGCTACTCAGGAGGTTGAGGCAAGAGAATTGCCTAAGCCCAAGAGTTGGAGGTTCCTGTGAGCTATGTGATACCACAGCACTCTACTGAGGGCAATAAAGTGAAACTCTTTCTCTAAAAAAAACAAACAAAAAAACTACAATTAGAGCTACCCTATGATAAAGTAATCCCACTACTGAATGTATATCCCAAGGAAAGGAAATCAGTGTATCAGAAGACATCTATATATTTTCAAACAGCTAGAAGAGAGGACTTCAAATGTTTGGTTCCAACAAAGAAATAAATGTCTGAGGTGATGGATATGCAAATTACCCTGATTTGGTCATTATACAGTGTATATATCAAAACATCACATGTACCCCATAAATGTGTACAATTATTACATGTTAATTTTTAAAGACTAAAAGAAACAAAATAAAATTATTAATAATTTTGGAAGAAGTGATGGTTTTATGGAGGTGTGTTTAGGAGGAGAGAATTTAAGACCTTTTTGGTCTTATAGTATCTAAATAACTTAGAAACATCTATATATTAGTCTTAAATCTTCTTTTGGTAAATTTAAAAAGATTTAACTTCACTCACCGGACTATCATCGTTTAAAAATTCTTCAAGAACCTCTTTAGAATACTTTACTCTTGAACTCTGAGGACTATCATCAGAGTTAACAGGAACAGGAGATTTGCTAAACAGGATTTAAAGGATAAGAGACAAATTAAGTTCCCAATTTCTAAAAATTAGACAGTATAAAATTTAAGATTTTCATTTAAACAAATGAAAATTAGTGATATTGAGCATTTTTTCTTTTTCTTTTCTTTTTTTTTTTTTTGAGACAGTCTCACTATGTCCCCCTTGGTAGAGAGCTGTGCTGTCACAGCTCACAGCAACCGCAAACTCTTGGGCTTAAGCAATTCTCTTGCCTAAGCCTCCAAAGTAGCTGGGACTATAGGTGCCCACCACAACACTCGGCAATTTTTGTTGTTGTTGTTGTTTAGCTGGCCTGTGCTGTTTCATTTAAAAACAAATGGTCAATAAGAAATACCTATCATGGCTATAATAGTCATGGTCATTCCCCCATCTGCTCCCTACACTGATACCAGAATCTAACCCCTCCATAGCTCTCTGCTTCTCCTTTCAAGACATATGAAAAAAACCATAAAAGAACTGAAGATATTAGTTCTCAACTGAAAAAATAAGTCCTGAACTATCAACTATGCTTCAAAATCTCACTTGTGTAAAGCAGTACATTCTTCCATTTGAACACTATTAGTGATGAGCACACCAAAAGCCCGGACTACATCCCTATACACTATGTACATGTAACAAAGTTCAACTTATATCCCCTAAATCTATTAAAATTAAAAATTTATAAGCATTGTTTGCTACCCAATGATAATCAAAACTCCATGAACTAGAATGGCAGCTACATGTTCTCCCACTTTAAGATTTTAAGGCAGTAAGGCACTTCCTCTCCAGTACAGGTGTTAACATAGAGAACAGATTATATAGGGAAAAGGATTAATTTTTAAATTAACATTCCTGAGTATAATCCTAGTCCCACTCAATATACTACCTTAGGTAATTTATATCCAAATTTCAGTTTCTACATTTGTAGCCCCACCTGTCTCACAGGTATAGTGCATAAATTAACTGAATTAATTCTCATAAGTTCTTTTTTTTGTTTTTTTGAGACAGGGTCTCACTTTGTCACCCCCTGGTAGAGTGCTGTGGCGTCATAGCTCATAGCAACCTCAAACTCTTGGACTCAAGCGATTCTCTTGCCTTACCCTCCCAAGTAGCTGGGAATATAGTCTCCCCCACAACACCTGGCTACTTTTAGAGATGAGGTCTCACTCTTGCTCAAGCTGGTCTCAAATCTGTGAGCTCAGGCATTCCACCCACCTCAGTCTCCTAGAATGCTAGGATTACAGGTGTGAGCCACCGTGCCTGGCCAGATTCTTAATAAACATTGGTTTTATTCCTGATGTTCTAGGAGTAATAGAGGAAAGGATATCCCCAACAAAAGTAAGAATATTCCCAATATCAAATTCTATTAGTCACAAAAATAAATCCATTCTATTTCTCTTATTTACATCACTGTAAGGTGTATTTATTACTTAAGAAACTCAGATACCTAAGTCTTTTTACAAATTTAAACATCACAATGCTAACATTTTCCTTTTGTATTGATATATTTGATTTCTAATTTACTACAAACTTTTTCTATATCCTAGGTAGTCTTTTCCTCCATTTTTTACCAACATAATTTATACATCCATCCAGCTGTCATCAAAAACCATTTGCCAGATCGTGTAGGGTAAAAGATATATAGAGGTTCACTGTACTATCATTTTACTTTTGACACTTGTTTAAAATTTTCAATAATAAAAAGTTTTTTAGCTGGGTACCCGTAGCTTTGTAGTTAGGGCACCAGTCACATACTACCAAGGGCTGTCAGGTTCGAATCTGGCCTGGGCCTGCTAAACAACAAGGACAAGTACAACAAAAAAATAGCCAGGTGTTGTGCCAGGCACCTATAGTCCCAACTACTTGGGAGGGTGAGGCAAGAGAATTGCTTAAGCCTAAGAGTTTGAGGTTGCTGTGAGCTGTGATGCCACAGCACTCTACGAAGGGCAACATAGTGAGACTATCTCAAAAAATTTTTTTAAAAAAAGAAATTTTTTTAAAAAAGGCAATTATCTGGTTATGGCTTTGCTCCACTTTTTATAATACTAGCTTGAATACTTATTATTTAATTTTGGTTTTGATGACAGGTTGATAATAATTTATTTCAAACTGAGATCTATTCCTTCTCAGGAATCCATCATTAGTTTTATCTATAAATATATCCAATACAATATGAACTCAATCTTCTAAAAATTAACAATGGCTAATGACTAAATTATTATATGCAAAGTACTGGGTCAAGCCATTGGTAATATTAATTATACAAGCCAGAAGGTATATTATCCAATTATAAAATACATTAAGTACATTCAAAATTTTACTCTAAAGTTAAATATCTCTGATATTACTTGTTCATCCATTTTTGTTCCAATTAAAAGCAAAGTATTACACCTATGACACTTTATTAATACATAGACAATTGATAAGAAAATAAGTAATTAGAAAATAAGAAGGATAAGAGAAGTTAAGCACTAAGTGAGCTGCCTATTAACCCAAATTAACAACAATTTTTAAAACATCGAGAAAGGGAGCTACAATAAATAAAATACTCTGGATAATCACCTCCACTACCACAATTTATAAAAAGCTCAGGATAAGCCAGAACCTTCCTACACACTTTATATTCATTTTGTAATCTACCCTGAAGTAGATATTACTTTTCCATCTCCAAAGTTTGGAGAAGTACTTTGTGGAAGATCTCACAGCCAAAAAGGGGCAGAAATGCGTTGCAAAACTAGAATTATAGTCAGCATCTATGTTCAAAAAAAGAGACATCCAACTGAGAAGCAATCAAAAAATAATCCAAGAATTAACAGACTGTAACAGAATAAAAGCTTAAATAACTAAAGATAATAAATTAGCAGAATCTAAGGCATGATATGAAGGTTACCAAGAATGCATTTCTGATAAGTCTGAATGGAATAATATCTCTAAGAATAAAAACTTTTCTACATAAGTTCCGAATTATAATTCCACACTCTCATTCCCAGCTACCTAGGTAATTAGTTTTCTAATTATTCTTTTTTTTCCATTTTTGCTCTTTTCCTTTTTTAAAATTTTTTTTAGTTTTTATATTATTCTTAACAACTATTCACAGAAAAGTTAAGCACACAAACGAAAATAATCTTAGGAACTACAAAAAAATTATTCAACAGACTATACAAATGCACCATCATTCAAGTAAAATAATGAGTACAAGAGAAAGTAAAATGTAAATGAAATGTATAACTCAGGCTCAGCGCCTATAGCCGGCTAAGGCGCCAGCCACCTACACCTAAGGTGGCGGGTTCGAATCCCCAGCCCGGACCCGCCAAAACAACGATGGCTGCAACCAAAAAATAGCCAGGCGTTGTGGCAGGCGCCTGTGGTCCCAGCTACTTGGGAGGTGGAGACAGGAGACTCGCTTGAGCCCAGGAGTTGGAGGTTGCTGTGAGCTGTAATGCCACAGCACTCTACCCAGGGGGACAGCTTGAGGCTCTGTTTCAAAAAAAAAAAAGAAAGAAAGAAATGTATAACTCTAGTATATGGAGAAAACACAGACAAGGAGAAAAGCTTAAAGTAAAAAACTAAACAAAACAAACAAAAAAAGGATTTTCAAACACTCCTCCATCTGCAAAATAACTGTTTTGGTTTCAAACCCTCATTTTAAGATATACATCACTACTTTATAATGAAACAAAATGAACACGTAATGAGAACAGAAGCTATGGAACGTACCTAAGGTTAATACACCATCCTGCAGGAACAAATGAAAAATGCAATGTAAAGCAAGAAACACTCAAAGTTATGTTCTACAGAATTACATTGGACACATGACATTTTTTATTTGGAAAACTAGTTTTTCCACTGTCATCTACTTACAACATAACAGGAACATTTTCCCATGATCTTTCTGCTTCAAGTTTATCTAATGAGCAAGGGCTGTCATCCTTTTTCATAGGTTGTGGTGATTGGCCAGTGCACTGCTCTAGATTTCTCTTGGCCTTCAGAATAAGCAACTGAATTTTGTCACCTAATTTTAAAAGATTACTTTAATTCTTAAAGGAAAGAAAATGCAAAACATGGCAAAATCTCACAAAATCAACAAGAAAACAGATAATTTGGAATATATACACATTCTTAACAGCAATTTGTTAAAATATGACATTTTCAAACAAAGAAAAAAGACATCTTCTAGTTACAAGAGGCTATCTAAGTGAGGATCAAAAACATTTTTAAAAGATATACATCAAAATAAAACATAAAAGCCCCTTGATATTAGGCCAACTTTACACTCTTTGGTTTAAAAAAAAAAAACAAAAAAAAAACTATAAACCAAAAACAAAGTATTACCACTGAAGGGCTCTGCAGATTGTCCTGGGAGAAGTGGATTCTTACATTGACATTGGGGGCTATGTTCAAAATCACGTTTGTATTCATTAACTAATTCTTTATCATCACTTAAGATATCTGAAAAGTTTGAAGGTTCAAAGGAATATTCAAAACAATCTAATTTATTCCTGAGCGGAGAAGTTCTTTGTGCTTGATAACTGTGTCTAAAGGACTGTGGGTCTTCTTTAGATATTTTATAAACCCTTTGATTCTTTCCATCAGGTAGCAAGTCTTGATTGTGGAGCCAGACTGGGTATTTGAAATCAGGGATACTAGTTATCCCTGAAACACTAAGGTCTGATTTCTGGCTAGTGAGCCATCTTGGATAATTATTTTCAAGGTTGTGTTTTGAACTGTCCTTGAAAGATGATTTCTTGGGAAAAGATAAAGATGACTCAGAAACACACTTATTAGTCCTATTCACAAGTTTGGGGTTTTTTAGCCTACCACATTGCTTTCCATTTATATTTGCGCATACAGCAGGAATAATTAAGTTATCCTTGCCCATGGGAGTGGAGGGTTCTTGAAAATTTGAATTCTTTTCAATGTCTGATAAGCCCAGTTTTCCATTGCATTTCTTTTTTTTCTTGCTTATTCGGTGACCTGGTCCAACATAAGTGAAAGAAAATGATCCATCTGCTGGAAGTTTTAATAGATCATCAGTTGTTAGGCTAATGGAGTCTATGTCATTAATACTCTGTCTTCTATGGGCTAAGGACTTTGAGTGCTTTTTGTGATCAGGATTTTCAAAAGCTGAAAAACAAAGCATAGGTCTGTTTATCTTTCTTTATCACATATACTTTTATAATATCCAACAATAAATGAGAATTGAAGATTTAATCATCATTTTTACTGTTTTCCTTTAATCCTCACAAAAGCTTTGATTAGAAGTATACAAAGTACAGGTTGATTTAAAAAAAAAAGGGATGTGCTTTCTTTTTCACATTTCTTCAATCTATTTTACTTAATTTCTTTTTTATTTTTTTTGAGATGAAGTCTCACTCTGTCGCCCTAGGTAAAGTGCCGTAGCATCATCATAACTCATGCCAACCAAAAACTCTTGGACTCAAGTGATCCTCTTGCCTCAGCTTCCCAAGTAGCAGGGACTCTAGGCACCCACCACAATGCCCAGCTAATTTTTCTATTTTAGTAGAGGCAGTGTCTTGCTCTTGCTCAGGCTGGTCTTGAACTCGTGAGCTCAAGCAATCTATGTACCTCGGCCTTCCAGAGTGCTAAGATTAAAGGAATGAGCCACTCCACCCAGCCTATTTTACTTAATTTCTACATGTTTCTCTCCAACTTCCTGAATTTTTCCATGTTCTCTAGTTTACTGTTTCAACTTTTTTCATCTACACATATCTGATACACTAATATAATCCAAGTAACATATGTCACTGCAATACTGGCTGCAGCATAGAAAAAATAATATGCTATTAAAGTAGGTAGAAAAATAATGTGCTTTCTCATGGTTACACAGAATAGCTGTTCTAATTCTCTTCTTCTGGAATGCATTCCCACATCCCTCTAAGAGTTGAATACAATTATTTTCCATTCTAGGCCCATTCTCTAAGTGCTCAGTAAAGTGCTAACTGGCTTGTCAACAAATGTTATTTTCCAAACTTGCATTCAAGGAAGCCTTACTAAAAACAAACTCTTAACATCCTATGAATATTATTGTTCCATATAATACAGAAAAACCAGTAAAATACTATCCCATGAATTGGAATTGGAAGATAGAACTACCATGCCAATGCTCTTTCCATTATGCTATAGTAAAACTGCTTTAGGTTAAGATCAGCTACCTGTTATTACCTGTAGTTACACTCATCAGCTTGCCCTCCTAAGTTAAAAAGAGCATCTTAGCTGAAAATTCCTGGGAACCAGAGAATTATACAATCATTTTACAAAAATATCCAGATCTTGGTATAATAAAAGTTACTTTTCCTCCAAAATAAAAAAATGTCAAACTTTGCAAGGCTATAATAATCTCCCAAACACTTCAAAATATTTTAAAATAAATAAAACATAAAGAATAAAAGCATACCACCGTTTGGTTTATAAATACAGTTGGAGAAATGTGGCATATTAGAAGAGGCCTCGTCAAGATTAATTTTCCCAGGGCTTGCACCAGGATATAGTCGACTTAGATCAAAATCATCAATATAGGCCTGTAGAGCCTGAGAAGCAGATCTATACAGTTTATTCTTATAGCAAAAGGAGCCATCAGAGTTAGAGGAATTACTACCACCCAGGCTGCAGCTTGCTAGCAAAGAAGATACTGAAGATTCCTGAGAACAAGCTCTGTGTTTTTTTACGTTTGACTTCGCCATGGCTTCCTCAAAGTAGGTTATTCCTATTCATTTCCCTTGAAAACAACAGTAACACAAAAACAAAAGATGAAGGTATCAATTAGATGGAATAGTGATCACATGCATAGAAAATTACTAAATATGTAAACTTTTGATAATTGATTGGAAGAATAAAATCCATTATCTATAACAGACGCTCCTTCTTAGACATTATAGATTTTTCTTTTGTCTTTATTACTATAAATTCTTTCATCAATGATTTAAAAAACATTTACTGAGACCTTACTATGTGCCTGGAAGTAAGTACACAAAAATTATCTGAGAATATACTTGGAAAATACCAAGGAAAAAGTACTCACTTTTTTTAGTCCTAAAAACTACTTGTGAATAGTCTTTTTTCTTATGATAACATATTCTATGACATCACAATATCTAACATTCCTTAATACATATTTTTCAAATCATAAGCTTAGCAACATGCACTGCAGATAATAGGTGCTCAATAAATTTTTTAAAGCCATCAAATGAAGTATTCAAAACAAGGAGGAACAGTGGAGAATATCCACTTTCCATGTTGTAAATATCATTATGTAAATTTTACCAAACCTTTCCCCCCAAAAGACTAGACGGAACAAAATAATTTACAATATTTATCTGTAAAGAAATAATCTATACATCTTATGAAGAATGAGCTAGCAATATAACCTTTTCCTAAAATAAAACTGTTAACCATTTCCTGACCTTCACTTTTAGTACTAACCTCATTACTTTGAATTCTTACATTAAACAGATTCAACTCACCTCTTTTAAAAGCGTTAATTTGGAAATCAACTTAATGTAGTCATCTTACTGTTTTTCCATTATTAAAATTGAGAGAATTCTTGTCTCCTTTAGTACAGCAAAAATGGAATCTATATTTGAAAACCTAAAAAATAACAATGAACGGAAACTAATTCAGTATGTGATATGACATTCTTTTAAAATTAGTGGATCTTCTGTACTAACCATAAATAGAACTTACAAGACATGATGTTAAAAAAAAATTTTTTTTTTTTAAGACAGCATCTCACTCTGTCATTCAGGCGGGAATGCAATGGAGTGATCATAGCTCACTACAGTCTCAAACTCCTGGGTTTAAGGGATATTCTTCTGTCAGGGTCTACAATTGTGTTCCACCATACCTGGCTAAGTTTCTTTTTGTTTTTTGTTTTAAGAGATCAGGCTCTCACTACATTGCCCAGGCTGCCCTCAAACTCCTGGCCTCAAGGGATCCTCCCAAAGCCCTGGGATTACAGACATGTCACAGCACCCAAACTTATCCTGTAAATTTAATGTTTAATTGTGGGCTATAATTTTGGAAATATTTAAGTTACAGTAAGTTTCAACGTAGTCTTAATAACTGTCGAATTTTACCTTACAACATTTAAAGTATTCTAATTAAAGAGACACAGCAAAATGTCATCCTAACAGCCTTCAGAGCATGCAATAGCCTTGACAGGAAATCCGACAGTGGCCAGAAAGCAGTAGCAGAATACAAAACGATGGCCAGCTGGCCTCTTCCATTTCCTCGAATGCTGTGATATTGGCCTATCTCCAAAGAATGGCTAAACTGAGTTAGCTTTACCCTTTTTTTACCCCTTTTATTTAAATTCACTCAAATAAATTTGCTTGGATAAGTTTGGAACGTTTGCTCCCTAACTGGAACGCACTACAGGCTACCGATTTTATTCTACAAAACCTTAAAAAACAAAAATAAAACCTTAGATGAGAATGCTATTGATTTAGTATTCTCGGTGAGTGGATGATAACATTTACTGGTTAGTTCACAAAACTGACCCCCCAAAACTCACAAAGTAACGTTTATTATGTAAAGTTTTCAAATGTATGCAAAACTAGAATAGTTTAATTAAACGCCCATGCACCCATCATCCTGTTTCCTACAAAGATGAACACAACCCAATTTCTTATCCACACCCCCACCCTATTTTCCGCACTTCAGCCCCAGGATTATTTTGAACCCCATTATTTTAAGCCAGTCCCATATATTATCTCACCATTTTTTCCATAAACTTTCCAGTTCGAATCTTCAAAAGAAAATTCATCATGCCAAAGAATAGAATGAATGTTAAACTTCTTGAAAAGACATTTCAACGACCTTTGATTTAAAAACAATGTTCTGCGTTAAACAACCAATGGAAATATGGCATGGGAAATTAACTCTTGGAAATAACAGCTCTGCGACTGCTAAATGGTGAAAGCTAACGTTTGTTTATTCTGCAGCAGAAAGAGGACAATCTACGGAGCTGCGAAGCCCAAGACTGCCGGCGCCCGTCGGCCGCGCACCTTTCCCCCACCCCGGGTGCGCAGGGTTCCAACTTTCCACCCCTTTTTAGGCAACATCCTCCCTTTGGGGTTCCGCTGCCCGCGTGGGTCACAGACAGACACAGTCACCGTCTTGGATGAGCTGCTTTTCCCTCTGAGACCGTTTATCCAGCAGCCGGCGAGAGCGCCACAGAGCGCGGACGGAGCGCCCCGAGGTCCCCGCCAGGTCCCGCCGACCCGGTACCCTCCTCGCCGACGACTGTCCCCCTAAAGTGTTCTTCTGACCACGGAGCCCCCACACGCGCCCTCCCGCCACTCTTCCTTTAGCTTTTTCCTCCGGCTGTCAAGGGACGGGACGTCCCTCGAAAATACATCCTATCCGCCCCAACACACCCACTAAGGCCCCCAAAGAGATTAAAAACCCACACGGACACAGCTCTCTGGCGAAAGCCTAGGCCTGCAGCCGGACTGGAGACGCGACAGAGCATCCCCGAGCCGAACACCGCCCCGCCTCGGGCCCCACGGCTCGCAGCCGCCTCCGCCGTCACAGGGAGAACCACACCCGCGCTCGCTTTCAAACCGACCCAACATGGCGCTGGGCCGCGGTGCGCAGGCGCGGCGCGAGGGGCGGGGCCAGCCGAGCCCGGCGCGGGCGGGGCAGGGGGCGCTGCGGGGCGTTCGGGCGCCGCCCCTGCTGGGAGGTGTAGTTTCTCCTCTTCTTTCTGGGGCGGGCAGGGGGCGGTTCTGGACCACATCCCCGCCTGCCCCCCGCTCGGACCCGCCTCCGTCACCGCTATTCTCAGCCAGTCTAGTCGCCGGCTGGCTGCTCCCCCTTCGGCCGGCACTCGGGGCTGTGGGAGCGGACGGGATGGGGAGGGAACGGGGCCGCTGGCTGTCGTCGTTTGGCTCGCCGAGAGCCAGCCCCACAGCCCCGGTCCTCCCAAGCCGGCCCTGCCCCGGGTTTCGGAGCTCTTGTCTCAGCTAGCGGGCAGCTCCCCCCACCGCTCTCTTCCTGCCCTCCTCAGTGCCTTCCCCGTCCATCCCGGCCCGGGCCCTGCCAGGGTCCAGCTAGCCCCTCACACACAAAGCAGATGCTTGGTGAACGAAGGGAGTTTGGCTAGGGATGGGATTTAATCAACTCCTTGGGGACCTTAATTCCCAGGGAAGAATGGCAGTGACCCAGCACGGATTGGGGACCCAGTCAGGCAGCCCAGAAAGAGGGAGATTATACAAACAGATGTAAAGACCCGCTAACAACAAGTGTGAACATGTCTACAAGGCTGGGACTGGATATGAGGTGCGAAGAATCCAGTTTCAACCAAGTGGTGTGTCGAAATAAGATGCCATCTCAAATATTGGTTTATGTTTATTTTCCACTGACCTTATGCCTCCGTCTGAATATGTTCCAGCTCATCTAATGTTACATCACCAGGTAAAACAACTGTCATCTCGCTGTTTGCTCTTGCTCCCTTTCACCCTCTCTACCTTACTAAAAGTTACCTTCCCTTTTCTGTTGCAAATGAAAAAGCCCACATGCTATAAAACTTAATTTAGTGGTTAAAACATACTCCCTTGTGTCAGTGAGTGTAAGTGATTTGAAAATAAGACACAGGCCTTGCAGGCACTAATAGTGTGTTCCAATAACCTGGAAAATTTTGAGATCAATCAATATCAAGTAAGTTGCCCATAGGAAATCTAGAACTGTATTTTATTTGTCAAAACAAGCCCAAGTCAGAGAACAGCCAAGGATTGTTAATGGCCTGAACTTGAAAGTTAGATTTTCTTTTTTTTTTTTTTTCAATCCACATTCCACTTGGTCTTCTTTAAAATAACTTCTTAAAAGTTCTTGCCATAAACAGTATCTTTTTAAGTTTCTTGTACTACCTTTTTCTTCATCTCCGGGTATATATAGCATGTATTTCCTAATGGTGATATAAAGTATAAATAAAGGATGCTGGGAAGATATAAAGGAAATTATGAAATTCAGTTACTCATATTATCAAATTAATTCTACTTAATGCTTTGTTCCTTCACAGGTTAAAAGCCATGGAGATTTCCACAAGGATTTTGAAAAGAGTTCCAATAGTTATTAAAATTCTGAACTAAATCTTTTAGGAAAGGTAAAGAAATCAGAACTCTACTAGGAAAGAGAAGGTTATAATGGGTTACTAAAGCCTTTCAAATATAGAAGCTAAAAAATAGCTGTTATGCCTTGCTGGAAAACCAAAGGAGAGAAAATAGATTTGTGATGCAACCTAAAGAGTTTTAGGTGAGAGCTAAAGAAGAAATGTTCTGATAATTAAACTTCCAGAAAGTTCACTGAGGGGCTTAAGGAGGCAGGTCTTGGAGAGTTTAAGTGATGGATTTAAATGTGTCCATTTTTTTAATCCACATTCCACCGTCTTTAAAATAATTTCTTAAAATTCTTGCCATAAACAGTATCTTTTAAGAAAAGAAACTAACCTTTTTGATCAGCTAGAATAGGGCCACACATTGTTTGAAGCACTTCTATATATATTAGTTAATCTTTGTAACAACTCTATGAGATAGGTATTATTACCCCCATTCTACAGATATAGAAATTGAAGTTCAAAGGTTAAGCCATTCACCCAAAATAATACAACTGGTGGTGAGTGGCAAGGTCAGGATTTGAATCTAGCTCTGTGTTTTTACCTTCTTTCCATTACACCTGTCAGCTTCCCCTAACTAAAAGGTGAATGATGGGCCAAAGGACCATTGAGACACAGCTTCCTGAACTCATTCACACCAAAAATAATAACTTACTCAACTGTCTTTGCTACACCTACCATAGTACCTTTCTCAGTTCCTTTGGGCCACTATAACCAAGTACCATAGACTAGATGGCTTATCAATAGTACAAATTTATTTATTCTAGTTCTGGAAGCTGGAAGTCCAGGGTCCCTGGGTGGGTTCTGGGGAGGGCTCTTTTCCACTTGTTAGCTTCTGGCAGCGTCCTCAATGGCAATAGGAGCGAATGAGCTCTCTGGGTTCTCTTTTATAAGGACACTAATTCTATTCAAGTGGGCTCAGTCCTCATGACCTAATCACCTAAACACCCTACATCCTAATATCATCACCTTGGGATTTAAGATTTCAAGACATGAATTTTAGGCACACTAAAACATTTAGTCCATTGCCATACTTCAAGTAAATGTGTTTAAGTTGATTTAAACTTGATCCTGTCTGAGAAGGTGACATCTAAGCAAAGACACCAATGAAGCAGAGTCAGCCAGGTGAACCCATGGGGGAAGAATGTTCCAAGCAGAGGGAATGGCAAGTACAAAGACCTGAGGTAGGAAGTTTCTTGGCTGTGTTTGAGGAACATCCAGGAGATCAATATGATTGCTGCTAAGTGGATGAGAAGAAGACTAGTAGGAAGTATACTTGAAGGGGAGCCAGGAGTCAGGCAACTTACTTTAAAAAGAATACATGATCAATAGACAGTGATGCTTTATGAATGAAAGGAAACATGATAGAAATGGTCATGGTTTATTGAATGACTAGTGTGTGCTAGGTAGGCACTGAAGTGTATTATCTTATTTAATCCTCACACTAAATCTTTAAAGGAGATACTGTCCCAATTTTACACCTTGGGAAATATTAATATTAATTTTTCACCTAATAGAAATATTAAGTAACATGGTTCACACAGTAAGTGGCATTTGACCGAGGTTTCTGATTCCAGAGTCTGGCTTTTTCGATTATACTGGCATTTTCTCTTTGAAAGACTTTGAGTAAGGAGAAAGGGGTTCATGCATGCATGCATTCAACAAGTAATTACTGTTCATTGCCATGTGCCAGGCACTGCAGAAATAGTATTAAAGAGTAATGTAGCATTTTAGACGTTCTTAGATCATTACATTCTTACCAATCATTTTTTTTTTAAAACTTTGCAGATAGATGGACTATAAGGCAATTGCCCAACAAACCACCCAAGAAGTTTTAGATTACAGTCAAGATACATCAGGCTGGAAAGTGGTTAAGACTTCAGTAAGAAAACAAGTTCAATATGTTTTAAGAGATTATCTTTTAATGAGAAATAATTCATTGTAAAAAAAATGTTTTTAATACTTTTTTGGTTAGGCTTGGTGGCTCATACCTATAATCCTAGCACCCTGGGAGGCGAGGTTGGGTGGGTTACTTGAGCTCAGGAGTTCAAGATGAGCCTTAGCAAAACTGAGACCCCTGGCTCGTCTAAAAATTAAAAAAAAAAAAAAAACCTAGCCAAAAGTTGCTATGAGCTATGACGCGAAGGCAGTCTACCCAGGGTTTGACAGAGAGACACTGTCTCCAAAAAATAAAGTAAAATACTTTCTCTGCTGGGCAAGGTGGTGCATACCTGTCATCCCAGCTATTTGGAGGCTGAGGCAAGAGGATCACTTGAGCCTAGGAGCTCAGGGCTTCAGTGCCCTGTCACTGTGCATGTAAATCTGTAATGTGCTCCAGCTACACAACAGTGAGACCCATCTCTAAATACATATAGATTTTCTTTCTTTTACAAACTAGAAAAAAGCATATTTTAACTTTTGTTTTATTTATTATTTTGATTTCTTCTATATCTGACCATAATTCATCTGTGGATTTTTATTCCCCTTTGAGAAAAAAGTAACTGTTTCCTGCAAGCCTTCTATAAAATTTCGTGGAAATCTGTGAGTATAATTTCCTATGTACAATCATTGTTTTAACTTCAGTGGCATTAATATATGTTGAATTCATTGCTGCTTCATTAACTTAACAAATATTTGATAGCAATCAGGAAATAAAAATTACTGGCCCTATGCTGAAATGTGATATTAAAAAAATAATGCGGGGGGCAGGAGGATTGGCCAGCTCTCACCTAACAGGCCCAATGTAAGGCTATACAGCAACACCCCCAAGGAAAGCGCTCAACTACCACTTGAACTTCACCTTAGAAATAAAAACAGTGTAAACTAATCATTTGTGCCTTCACATTAATCTAAAATTTTAAAAAAAGAAGCCAGTTGAAATAAAGAAATCTCATTCACATAAATAAAAATAAAATAGAGCAATTATATGCCATCTAATCTTTTATTTTCAAACCCGAAGACAGTCAGGAAAAAAAAAAAAACCTTTCCATGAATAATTCACTAAAATGGGAAATTTGCACTTGAAGAAATAATTTAAAAGCAGATTTGTATTTTCTTGCTAACAGTAATAACTTATGGTCTTCCCCCCCCCCCGTTTTTGTTTGTTTTTCTTTTTGTATTTGTAATTGTTGGTGTTGGGGTTTCTTTCTGTTTAATTATGGGTACAAAGTAGTTGCCTATCTTTACAAGGAACACGCGATGTTTTACCCTACGGTCTTTTAAATCCTTCACCTAGCCATTAAATCAACCACCAAGAGGGAAAGTTTATTTTCTATATATATGCATTTTTTCTCTGTAAGCTGCTTTTAAAGGTATTTTGAGAATCCTGTATTTGAAATATAAGTATACACTAAAGGAAACTGTGCTGACATTTTTTAACTTTAAAATTGTTCATTTATTGCCCATATATCATAACAGTGCCATCAGATCACGTTACTGACGAGACCAAATTGTATTCAATTTTAAATTGACTTCTCTCTCTTTTTTTTTTATTAAATGATAGCTGTGTACATTAATGCAATCATGGGGTACAATGTGGTGTTTTCATATACAATTTGAAATATTTTCATCAAACTGGTTAACATAGCTTTTGTGTCATTTTCTAAGTTATTGTGTTAAGACATTTATATTCTACTCTTAGAAAGATTCACTTGTACCCTTGTAAGATAAACCATAGAAGTGATCCCTCCAATCACCCTCCCTCCATGCATCCCCCCTGCCCTCCCTGCCCCTCCCCATATTCTTAGGCTATAATTAGGTTATAGCTTTCATATGAAAGCTATAAATTAGTTTCATAATAGGGCTGTGTACATTGGATACTTTTTCTTCCATTCTTGTGATACTTTGCTAAGAAGAACATTTTCCAGCTCCATCCATGTAAACATGAAGGACGTAAAGTCTCCACCTTTCTTTATGGCTGCATAGTATTCCATGGTGTACATGTACCACAGTTTATTGATCCATTCGTGGATCAATGGGCAAAATTGACTTCTCTTTTAAGTCCACTCCTTTCAACTACTTCGTTACATACTGATTTTTTTTTCATGTGGCTAAAATTTACCTATTCTTATGTGCTAGTCTAATTTTTCACTATTGGAAAAAGCTGGTATTATTTCTCCCATTTATTTTGACAATTCTTGAGAAAATAATCTATACCTTTGTTTCTAAAAGAGTAATGATTCTAATAGTGGCGCTCTCAAGACTAAACTGAAGAAGGAGTGGATTGTTGTCAGTCCCAGGCACAATAGGGGAGTAAACTTTCAGATAATGTGGCTTTTTGATATCTTGTAGATCAAACCAACTTAAACAGAAAACCTATTTATTCATCAAAAAAAACCTTGGAAGTTATTCATTCTAAAAATACTGAGTATTAACATGCAAAAAGCCATTCAAAGAATAGCTTCCCTTAAGCTACTTTAAAGCTTATTGGAAACTTGACAAACAGTTGGAACAAACTTTCTGCATTCACATTTTGAGTGAAATTTATATGCAGTGTGTGCTAGTTATTTATTGATGCTACTTAAACATTTATTATCTCCTGGTTTCTATGGGTTAAGAATCCAGGAATAGCTAAGCTGGTTCCCTCTGTTTCAAGGAAACTCAGAAAGCTGTACTCAAAGTGTCAGCTGGAGCTTAGGTCTCATCTGAAGGCTCAGTTGAGGGAAGCTCTGCGTTCAGAATCACTCACCTGCTTGTTGGCAGGATTCATTTGCTCATGGGCTATTGAAGCAAGGGCCTCAGTTCTTTGATGGCTCTTAGCTGGAACGCTCCTTAGTTTCTTGATGTATGGGCCTCTAAAAGGCTGTTCAAAACATGGCAGTTTACTTTCCTTGGAGTGAGAGTTCTAGAGGGAGCAAGAAAAAGAGTAAACAAGACAGAAGCCAACATCTTTCTTCAACCTAAGAAGTGACTTCCACTTATTTTGTAATATTCTATTTACGAGAATTGAATCACTAGATCCAGACCTGACTCAGAGAGAGGAGATTACAGAGGATGTCAATACCAGGAGACAGGGTTTATTGCAGGCCATTCAGAGGCTGCCTCCCGCACACTGATTTGGCAAACTTTTAATTCTGCTTTGTAATTGAGTTCAATAGATACCAGACACAGCTTCAAAATTAAGATTGATAAAAAGTACATGAAATTCAATTTTGCATGCATATTTTCTCAAGCACAACTCACTAATTCTCCTAACTTTTCCGTGCTTAAGTACAGAAGAGCAATCTGTATTTGTCCAAGTACAAATATTATTCAAGGCGACCATGCCAAGTGTTTAGGTTCCTACAAAGGAGATCAAACTAAATATATTAGTCAGATTGGTCTCCATCATTTGAAAACTTATCTTCCTGAGCCTGGAGTGAGAAGAAAGTGAGATTGCAGTTAAATGGAGAGGAACGCTCAAAAAGCTTAAAATGTTTTCAGTTCAAACAAAACATCAGGATTTTATATAAAGAGTTATAATAAAGCAAGAAACAGATGCATGTGACTTTAGAATGGGCAAATGAGTACAAATATCTTACACTTTGGAGATGTATAGTATGGTCCATTGCAATTTGTCAAACTAGCATCTGGGAGAAATGTAAACCCTCCAAATGCCCTGTGGAGGAAAAATGGGTTGCACTGTCAAATTTTCCAAACATTCTATTGCATGCTTAGTATATTTTCTTTTTAGAGATTTGCTCCAAGGTTCAGAGAAGTACTAAAGTTGCAAAACTTGTTTTACTTTAATTCAAACTTTCCCAAATTTCTTTTATCAAGAACACATGTTAGCCTAGACTCTAGAGAATAGATTATTGATCTTGGATTTGGTTCTGAAAGCAACTCTAACATAAAGAAAGAAGTAGTTGACTTTTCATCTTCTTCCTTCTCCTATCCTAGGGCAAGCCACCATCATCATCTCTAAGTAACCTCCTCGTGTTAAGGTTAGAGTAGCCTTCTAATGGTCTTCTTGTATCTGTTCTTGCCTCCTCAATTATATCCCATTCTTCACACAAGGCCTATGGTAGATTTTTAAAATATAATCCAGATTGTGTCACTTCCCTGCCTAAATCTTCTAAAGCAGCAGTTCTCAACCTGTGGGTCGCAACCCCTTTGTAACAATTGAAAATACATCGTGGCATTAGGAAGGTTGAGAACCACTGTTCTAAAGGCTTCCCATTGCATCTAAAATAAAGTTCATACCTTTTTTTTTTTTAGTTAAACAATGATTTCATTGCTTGAGTTCATAGACAGCCATAGAGGCTGTAATGACTCATACTTCCAACTGGAAGAATTGTAATATCAAGCCAATTGATGAATTCACCTCTGTGCCAGAATAAGATGGAATTTGGCATCCTTAGCCTTTCTAAGCCTCTCAAGATGTTTTCAAACAGCAACTGCTTTCTTAATGGTAGAGATCCTCGGGGTTGTCAGGAGCAAGTCCTATTGCCAGTCACAAAACTTTCATGGGCAAGGCTGGGTGAGTCCCTCAGGATCACACCGATCTGTGAGGGGGTCAGGCCCTGCTGGATCACTTTGTAAATCTGCTCCCTCACGTTGCCAGGCGTCAGCTTCAGCCAAGTGGCAACGACAGGGCAAAGCTGATGGGAACAGGCCTTTCCCAGGAGCATGTATGTGAGCCCTAACAGTGGTGATCAGTGATGAGGCAGAAGAAAAAAAGAGCAAGTTGAAACATTTCATCATGATCTGCACGTCACTGTCTGGCCTTTGTCAACCTTGGGCCCAGATTTCCTACCTTCTTCCTGCTTCATTTGCCTCCTCCCCATGTTACAGCCACAACAGGCTTCCATCCCTCGAATGCACTGAACTTAGATCCACCTCAGAGCCTTCATAGTTGACCTTTTCTTGCCTGGCATGCTGCTCCCCCAAATCTTTCCAAGGCTAATGGCATTTCTGTCCTCAAGGACTGAGATTCATTAGCTCCTCTTTAGAGTGACCTTCCTGGCCACTTTGCCCAAGTTCCCAAATACACAGAGTCAGGCACTGTTTGCTATTCTGCTATTATCTTCGTCATGGCACTTACCACTATATGTGATTTGTCTTTACTTGTTTTCCTATTTGTTATATGTCTTTTTATTACAGTATAAACTTGACAAGAATAGGCATGTGAATAGGAACCAGACCAGAAATAAATCTCCCTTGTTCAGTGCAGTATCTGTAGCACCAAAATAGTGTCTCAACATACATAGACCCTCAATAAATATTTATTAAATAAATCTATGATCTTTATATTGGTTACCAAATGGAAAGTTAAATACCATATAACTATAAGTGCAAAACAAACCCTTCAACATATTTTCTTAACATATTCCTTTTCAAAATAATCTACCACCCAGAAAGGGGCCACTTATGGTTCTCTTTGAGCATCTCCCTGCATGCGTGAGTAGCATTTCAGTTCTTTGGTTGGAATTTCTCTCCTTTATGCCCTGGAGAGATGAAATACAGACCTAGCAACACAGTTTGGCCTGTGCATTCCCTAAAATAATATATGTTAATTATGGCAATTTACAGTTAAACCTTGCTACTTCCCATAGAATATTAGTGTATTAAATTGTTGATTGTCCTTTCATGCTTTCTTCACTGTTATTGCTAAGTTAGCCTACCTTTACAAAACAATAGCTTATTTTCAGCTTAGACTAAAGTGTGAATTTTATTACAGATATCGTGTTGAAGGGATAATTCCAGAATCATCAACTAAGCTATCTGATTTTCTCTACAACCCTGGAAATAGAGTTACATGGGATAAAGCGTTGCAGATGTACAAAATGGTACACAGGATTGATTCGGTAATTTGTTGTTTAAACTGCATTAGTGTGTTTTTAGTTTTATACTAATATCTTTGTGAGTTGAGTTTATTAAAACTATGTCATGTAGACACTTATTTTATAGATTCACATGGAGTTGAAATCTTTATAGAAGCCTTAAAATTTCCCTCTTTATTTGTCAAGTTTAATTCTATTAGCTTTATTCTTTTTGTAAATACGTATTACATTCTGAATGTGCATATTACAGGATCAGCTCTTACAGATATGTGCCATTTTGTTATGAGGGAACCAAACTCAGGGATTCACCTCCCTTATATGGAAAACAACAATTAAGCATGCCTGGTCGATGGGAATTCTGCAGACTTATCTTAGTCGTATTACATTAGATACTACCTAGCAGAAAGCATGCAGACCCACACAATAGAGACCAAAGAACAAACAGCATGTAAGGCTTAAGAGTAAAGATAAAGTAAGCAAATAACAGTATATAAAAGGTTGCAGTTTAGGAACGCTTTCAAATACATTGTCTCACTTAAACAGATAAGAAGAGGGAGAATTAAAAATAATAATCAAAGACAAATACAGGTAATTGGAATAAAAAGTTGAAGACAGGCTAGAGAAAGGAAAAGAGAATATCAGAGGCAAGTAGGGTTTAGAAAGGGATAGAAGAAAAGATCCTGTGAGGTGAGGGTAGGGTGGAAGCTCAGGAGGAGAAACAAATGAAATAAGAGAAGAAGAATGACCCAGGGTGCAGAGGTGGCAATGAGGGCAAAGCACTGAGTGAGGGATTCTGAGCTGTGGGGC